CCCTGCCTCGGGACCCCACGCGCGGCAGCTGTCCCAGCCTCTCTCTTTCTCCTTCCCCTTCCGTGCCTCTCCGCCTTTCTCCACACACCCCGGTGAGACTGGCAGCAGAAGAGCCCTCCTCTGCGGCAGACGAGGCGCAGCCAGATCCAAAGGAGAAAGGTAAACCCTGAAAGCAGAGGGGCTGGAGGTCAGGGGAGACAAAGGGGGCCAGTGCTACGAAAACCTCGGTGCCGTGACTCCTCCCTGTCTGTGTGCTGGGTTAGAAGCTGCAGCTGAGACAGGAGAGAGGGTCTCAGCCAATTTGGCTGAACTGTAGTGGGCTTGTAAAGCTCCAGTAATTACCCTCCAGGTGGGTGGTTTCCAGTACTAGCTGGTGGATGTAAGCTGGGAACTACACAGATAAAATGCTGCAGCTTTGGGGCATTGTAGCCTGCAGCCGCAGGTCTAGAAGAGCACGTCTGGTGTTGAGTCACAGAGCGCTGTTGGAGTCTTTTAAAAACTTCTGAAAATCTGTCTTTTCTTCCCTGCTAGAGGAGGGGAGCCCTTCACCAGTCCTGGCCTTTGCTGCTTCTCCTCGGCCCAACCACAGCTACATGTTTAAACGGGAACCTCCTGAGGGATGTGAGAAGGTCCGGGCCTTTGAAGAAGCTTCGTAAGTATGAGGAGTTGTTGGCAGAAGAGAACTTGCGGGAGGTTGGTCCTGTGGGAGGATGCTGGGGTGGGGGCAGCTAAGGCTTCTGGTGCTGCGGTTGCCACCCCTGCCCTGTTGTGAAGGCAGGGAGCAGCCTCGAGGGAAACACTCCCAACAGAAACGTGGCTGCTCAGGTCCCCGGCGGGAAGAGGGGAAAGCTGAGTAGCTAACCCTCAGACACGCTCGGAAGGATCTTGTGATCCCTTGCCCTCCCAGGCAGCAGGTTTTTCTCAGCCAGCAGAGCCTCTTGAGAAGAGGTGGTTCTCCTATGAATAAGTGCGCGCTCCAAACGGAACAGGCTCTTCACGCCGCTCTGTACCCGAAGAGCGGTCCAGCTCACAGAGAGCTCAGCTTTTAGTTGGGCTCTTCGAAGAGTGCACAGCTCCAGGTGTTTTCCCCGTGGCTGCAGGCACGGGCTGCTCGGTGCCCTTGGGAGCGTCTGTTCCTTATCATGTCCACTCTGTCTCTCTCCCTCAGCTCCCCCAGCCCTCATCAGCCTTTTCAGCCTTCCTGCCCAGACAAGAACAAAGTGCACTTCAGCCCCACCGGTTCTGCCTTCTGCCCCGTCAGCCTGGTGAAGCCACTCTTCCCAAATGTGGGTTTCCTCTTCAGGAGCTTTCCAGCTTCTTCCAGCCCTGGCCCGGGCACGTTTACACCCTGCCAGCCCACAGCCCCCGCCCCGTTCCTTGGGGCGCGGAAGGACGCTGCAGTAGATGGCTTCAGCGAGGTGTCCGAGTCTCCTTCGCTGAATTACGAACACTGGAAGCGCGGCCAGCCGGAGGAGAACGTCGTCTTCCACAGCTCCCTTGTGGTGTGAAGCCTGTGGGAAAGATAGCCAGCGACAGCAGCTCTGGCTCCTCAGCATGTCTGTGCCAGCCTGTGGAGACTGGTGCCTTGAAGGTGGGACGTGACAGCCAAGAGGCAGCCCTGGGACTGAGAAGCACGGCGGGCTTCCTGCGGGGAGGACAGGAACTGAAGTACAGTGTGCCACGGGACTTCTCGCTGCTGGAGAGGCTTGTCTCGCCAAGCCTCCCCTGTTCAAAGCACTTTCCTGTGTTGAATTGTCTTTGTTTCCCGTGTGATTGTTTTGCTGGTGAAGGGCAGCCGGGCACTGCTGCGGGGAGCAGAGGCAAACTCGTGCTCCATGGCTCTGAACAAGGCTGAGCTGGGAGAATTCAGGCAGGGCTTCCTAGCACCCCTCACCCCTGCGGCCGCCTGGGATTGCTGAACCCTGGGGAGTGGGAATGGGGGAGAAGGGGCCTGTGGGAGGGCTGCCCTTGGGTGTATGACGCAGAAAATGTTGTGTGTCTGCACTATTGAGACAGCTCGCCTTCATCGGAGCACGGGGCGGGCTGGAGAGCAGTGGATCCCTGGCTGTGCCTCCCCCGGCCACCTTCACCCCTCGAAACAAGCCCGGAGCTTTAAGAATGCCGTGCTGAACGGGGACGAGTGTGGGTGACTGAACACGGGCTTCCACGGCTCTGTGCACCTGAGAGCTTGCGGGACCAGGGGTGAAGGAGGCATCCAAGGCGTGCACTGCCCACCGGGCTTCTGCAGGTGGGCAGGGGTCTTCCCGGTGCCCTGGCTGTGCTGCAGGAAGGGAGTGAAAATGGGCAGTGCCCGGAGGTCCCTGCTCCGGGGGTGTTGCTGCTGTAGAGAAGCTACCCGCTGCTTTCCACCCTGCGGCCCGGCTGGGGGGGCCAGGACCCCCCTGCCTCGCTGGGGGCCAGGCTGGGCGCCCGGCGGAGCTGTCCCAGTGCCATGGCCTAGGAGGTGAAGCGATAACACGGGAACATTGATCGTAAAGCCTCTTGGCAACAAAAGTGTTTGGTTGTTTGGTTTTGTGTTCTGTTGCGAAGGCTCTGGGTTGTATTGAAGAAGCCCGTTTTCTTGTATCTGATGTAGAAACTCTATTTTCTTCCAAAGACACTATTTTTG